TTGGCAACACTGTTAGTGTTATTGAATATAAGCAGATAGCGTGAAACTTATAAACGGTAACTTAAAAACAATTATTATAAGTAGGAATCATTTTGCTTTTTGTATTAAAAAATGGACAAAACCTGCACCCAAGTTTCAACTAGCGATTCAAGGAAAAGACAGCGCGATCCTAGTTCTTGGAAAAGAACAAAAAAAAAGTTGCAAGGTAAGATTTTAAACTTTTAAAATATAAAACAGTATTGTGAACATAACCAATAATATTTGGCGACAATTAAATGTATTTAGGTTACAACCGTTTACAACAGAGTGATTGACACAAATATGAGTGAAATATTAGACCACGTTGCCAAGTATTTCAAAAATCTGTGACTTTATTTTATATGACTCGAAAGTTTTTGCCGTTATAAATGTATGAAAATTTTATTTGTTTTATTCATGTATTTAACAAAATAATATATACAATTTAAATTGTATATGTTTGATCAAGTATCACGAGTAAAAAGAATAATTTGCTTAACATTGATAACTATTTTTATAACTAATTTTCGTCTCGTTTATATTAATCCAGTGCTAATTCATTGTTGTAGATATTCTGCAAGCAGTTTGCCTCAGTATCCATCGTGTGGTCACAAAATACAATCGTTTCAATGCTGCTATCTTTCAATGATGGACATACAGCGGTTTCATAAAAAATTTTATGAAATAAAAAAAAATGTTCAAGATGCGTTTATTTTAAAACATTGTGAAGTGCGTGCACCAGCACCTCATAAGTACCAGGCGGAGAAAAAAGCAAGAGAAGTGAGTGTAAAATTATTTATATACACTGCTATTAACAAACAAAAAATACCCGTATGTAGAAAAGCTTTCTTAGGTATACTTGGTATTTCCAAACACCGAGCTTTGGGTGTAATGAAAAAATTTCACAAATTGGGGACAATACCGATAGATCAAAGGGGCGGTGACAGAGTTTCTCATTTAAAAAATGCCCACAGAAAAAAAATTCAAGAATTTATCGAATCACTTAAATGTAACGAATCACACTATTGCAGATCATCCTCAACAGTAAGAGTGTACTTAGATCCAGAGCTTAATATTAAGAAATTGTGTCGTATGTACAATGAATCAGTCACTAATGAATTGAAAGTAAGAGATTGTTTTTTTCGTAATATATTTAACACAAAATATAATATTGGGTTTGGTTCACCTGCTACAGATGTGTGCTCTACTGGTCTTTGTTTAAGAGAAAATATTAAACGCTGCGAGAATGAACAAGAAAAAGTCAACAAAATGACTGAGTTTCGGCTGCATAAATTAAGAGCTAAAAGTTTCTTTGATATACTAAAGCATGAAAGTTCCAATGTTTACACTTTTAGTTTTGACTGTCAGAAAAATATGCCCTTACCAAAAATACCTGATCAGGCAGCTTACTATTCGAGACAACTCTACGTGTATAATTTTACAATAAAAAAGCTCTTCAAAAGCAAAACTTACCAAGGACAACGTGTTTACATATACATGGACCGAGCTTGATCGACCAAAAGGTTCCTGCGAAATTGCTTCAGCAATATATTACAGGCTAAAACATACAGATTTTCCCTCTGAAATAGATACAGTCCAACTGATATGTGACGGATATGGGGGACAAAACAAAAATTCGACACTTGTATTTATGTGTCAAACATGGCTTTCTGATGATGCTCCTATTAACATTAATAAAATTCAGCTTATCTACCCAGTTACAGGACACAGCTTTTTACCTGCTGATCGAGTTTTTGGCATTATTGAAAAAGCGGTACGAAGAATAACGACAATAATTCAACCCCAAGAATATTTTGATATATTTTCTGAATATACAGCCGTAATTAAATATCCAGAATTTGAAGTAATGGATTGGAAAACAGAAAAAATGGAGATATTGAAAGGGCTCCCAAGTTGGCATTTCCAAATCAGTAAATCATCAGGAATTACAATAGTACGAGAGAAGAGTTTGCGAGGACATAGAATTATTGTTCAAGGAGAGATGTTCTACAAATCTGACACTGGAACTACATTATCAGTAACCAAGAAAGGTAAAGCATTGACTGGTATAAATCCTGCAGTTTTACCTCCAGGTGTAAAGGTCAAAGAAGTAAAACTTAAAGATGTAAACGAGTTACTTAATAAACATTTCGGTACAAACTGGAAGCAAATGCAAGAGCTAGAATTCTATGCCAAAGCTTTAAACGAGAATAAGCGACATACGCAGGATTTTAATGATCCAATCTGTGAACATACGGAATTAATTCCTTGTTTTCGTGTGTAATGTAATAATATAAAATAAATCCTTTCCTCTAAATGAGTATTTTCTTTTATTTTATTACCCATATACTTTCTACAATCACATGTAGATATTTAGGGACATAAAATATGTCCAATTTTTATTCCTTTTTTTCTAGTTTACGCTTTATCCTATATTTAAAATTTGTAACAGGATAATTTTAATTGCTTTTAAAAATTGACAGAAGAAAAAAATATCTAAAATATATTAAAAAGTGAAGTTGTAAATTGTTTTTTTTTTTAGTTTACTCAAAAGGACATAAAGTGGAAATGTCCGGTTTTGAATCTAAACTCCTTATAGGTATTAAAATAACGAAGATTTATTTGTTTCTTAGTTCGTATCTTTCAAGTTAAAACCCAAATAGTATTTCGTTCTTTTCACGTCGCCAAGTCGATAATAAATCATTTTATTGTTTGTTTATGTCACAGGCGCAAATTCTTCGATATTCCTTTCATCGTTAATGCGTTTTCAAATTAATAAATTGCGTTTTAATTCCCGTTTGTGTTTTGTTTATACTAAGTGTTTGTTTATTTCAACTCATGCGAATTAATTTTAAAGATAATTTCATCACTTTCGTTGGAGCCGCGGTGAAGAGCGGTGGTCTTCAACGTTATGTCCAAATTTTACGTCAAATTTGAAATGTTCCTCGTTGTTCGTCTTTTTTTATGAAGAATATGTAAAATATAGTAGCAGTTTAATTGTTCAGTTACAGTTTTAAGTAAGTTTTGAAATGTTGCCATTGTATCCAGTTGTACCTATTCCTGTTTTTAAGAAGCCAAGTCCAGTTTAGTTTCCAAGGTTTGTGTTCCAGTGACCCAATTTCCTTTTTATTTGTGTGTCAGAGAGTTTTTAAGAAGTCCAGTTTACAGCTCAAGTGTAATTTTTATGAAACTCAGGTAATTTTTTGTGATCAAATTTTAAAGTAAAGATAGACATTTTTTATAACAATAATTGCTTTCGTAACAATTTAAATTTTTGTTTTTTAAAAAATTATAAATTTTAGGTTTTAACTTTAGCTGTCATTTTAATTATTGTTTTAAATTTAATAATAATTTATGACAGCTCGTTTTAGTATTTTTAATATTGATTTGTTTTGTTTTTTTTTTAAGATTAACCTCCATGCAATTTTGTAAGTTTTGTAGTAACAGAATTTGTAAACAGATAACACATGTAAGTTTTTTTGTATTTTTATATTTTGCGCCTATTTGAGGTAATATTTTTTTGCATTGTCTTATTTTTGTAACTGTTTGTGGTGACATAACAACAAATGTTAAATTTTTTTTTTATTTATTTAACTAACCCTTTTTGAGTTTCGTTTGAAAAAGATATGTTTTTTTATTTTTAATAATTATTTCTTATTTTATTTTTAATAATTATTTAAATTACTAGAGGTGTTTCCTGTTTCTTTTTATTTTATTTCCCAAGAGATTCATGACCCTTTGTTTCATTTTTTTGTAGTTGTCCCAATACAACCCCCTTGCCATTTACTAATCCACGACCTCAGCTCTCCTAACAAACCCTAAGTGCCGTTGGCATACCTTTCGATTTATTTTGTTTGCCCTATCTCCACCTCCATAATTTTTTTTCCAATTTTCTACCCTATAATTTTACCCTAAGGTAGGCAAAATATCTTCGTTACAATAGTGTGAACCACAATGTGCAAGCCGTAAATGACATAGACAAACTGTTCCTAAAATCAAATAAAGTGAACAGATCTCCGACTTGAGAAGAAAATAGCACTAGCTTGCAAATAAGTACCATGCAACAACCATCAAAAAATACAATCTCGTCTAGCGAATCACAAAGCAATGACAACTACACAACAAACAATATACTGCCTTAAGAGACAGAGTCGATTGGCAATCAACACGAGCAACCAGGCAACTCTTTTGTTTCTAATCATGCTTTTTTTTATCAACCGTCACAACTACATAACATTAATCTACAAGATAGCCATGAACATCAAGAGCAAGAATAAAACCTGTTCAATCTCGCAAAAGAGAAAGAAGTGAGGGCCCTTAAGACGATAAACAACTAAAACAAACAATAATAAACGATTACTGGCTCAAACCACTTCAAGCATAACGTGATTGGTATCAATGCAGATCGATTGATTTGTTTAGAGCAGCAAGTTCAAAAATAACATAGTCATTATGAATGCCAACCTGCTTAGGGACACGGCACTCTAAAAAGAAGAAGGCGCAAAGCACCTACAACGACGTCTAACAGATTGGCTAGTTTAGATGAAGTACCTGATGAGACCAACCAAACCGTATCTGGTAAAGGTATTTTACCCCCACCCATATTTGTTATAGAGATGTAGGTGATAAACGACTTCTTAGACATTTGTTAGAAATAATATCCCCACTGGCATACTTCATTAAATGCCTTTATAATGACTAAGTAAAAATCCAGCCGGCAACCTCTGAACATTTGATCAATATACCTACCAAACAAAGGAAGAAAGAACGTTTAGAGTGGTGCTTTGTAATATCTATCAAAAAGCAGATAAGGATGCTTTAAAAGATGAGTTACAAAAAATGAAGCACGAAGTAACCAATATAGCTAATAAAAATATATAAAAATGGATCCAAAACAGCGCTTCCACTTTTTATGTAGAACTAAAAACTAAATCGAATAAGACATATAAAAAGACATATATAAAGTAAGAGTACTCCAAAACATGATTGTATCCTTTGAACTACCACTTCCCAAAGATCAGGTACCCCAATGTACCACTTGTCAACGCTACAGCCACACAAAAAAATTCTGCCACCTGCCTGCAACATGCGTAAAGTGTACAAGTAATCACCATACTTCAAATTGTCCATCTAAGGAACGCAGAATAGTGTACAGTATTTACTTTGTAAAGAAAACCATCCGGCCAACTATAAGGGCTGCAGCGTATACAAACAAATACAAAAAGAAAAATTCCCCCAATTTAGGAAGAAACCCGAGGCTCATGAAACAGGCGCCAAGGAAATTAGCAATCAAAAAGTAATCCTTGGTGTTTCTTACGCTCAAAAAACTTTAGATAGTAGTCAAACGACTGAAATCAAAAACCAACAAAATGATGTTTGTTCAAACCATTTAACATTTAACTACAATTTCCAACCTTGAAAACCTAATGATTAAACTAATGGAGAGAATGGACACTATGCTTAATCTCCTTATCACTATGATTTCCAAAATGCACTAATGCAACACAGACTTAAAATAGCTGTCGAAACTCAATTGGCCTAACGCAGCATATTCAAGAAATCAAAATTTTTCTCTACTTGAAGAAAATTAATGTTAAGCTCATATCAGAAGCTCATTTATCAGACAAAATTATTTTACAATTTCAAAATACATTGTTCACCACACAAAACATATAAATGACAAAGCATAAGGTGGCACAGCTATCATTATTACATCAAATATAAAACATCATAAGTTAAATAAGTTCAGCGAAAAGTACCTGCAAATAACTAGCATTTAAATTGAAGACTGGCCAGGCAATCTTCCCTTATCTACAGTTTACTGACCTTCTGTCCAATCTATTAACGAAAACCACTTTAATTTATACTTTAGTTCTCTTGTACATACATTCATAGCAGGAGGAGACTTTAACTGCAAACATCACCACTGGGCTTTACGGTAATCACAACAAGCGGTAGTCAACTCCTGAATTTCTTCTTCTTCTCTTCTTGTTCTACCTTTTTTAGATCTTTCGATCTCTTTAATTCTAAAGCTGCCTTTGGTTAATTTCCTGGGAGGTAGATTGCCAACTATCCCTCCATCTTCTAGGTGGTCTTCCGGGAGGTCTTGAACCGGGCGGATTGATTCCTAGGACAATTTTTGGGAGTCTATTCTCATCTATTGATCTTACATAATTGTACCACATCCTCTTACGCTGCCTTTCCCATCTTAAAATATTTGAATTTTGCACTGCTCTCTAACATTTGTAGTTCTCATCCTTTTTCTTCTTGTTTTGCCCACTATTGTTTTTAGGGTTTTCATTTCGACAACCCTTAAAATCTGTTTCATTTTGTTGGTATCTTCGCGCACTTCTATGCCATAATCATAGTAATACGACAATTATGACAAATTAATAATGGGAAACAACCTACAATGAATATATTCAGAACAATTAACTTGTTAGCCTACAGATCGAAATAAAACACCAAATCTCTTAGATTTCTGTGTGCTTAACTTAGATCTCTTCTCTTAACTACTGCGCAATAGAATCATGTTGGGACCTTTCGTCAGACGATTCTTCCATTCTAATTTACCTAAACTCCAAAGTCCTACACAGAAGTAGGCCTCCAGTCCTAACCAATAACCAAACAAACTGGAAAATATTTCGAAGTATTCTAGTATTTTTTCAATAATATTAATAATGAATTTTAAGGTTTAAACCTGTAAAAAAAAAGATTTAAAAAACTTTTATGCCTGATACAAAATTGTTCTAAAACTAATAGCTTGTAAAAAACGAAGAAAAATATGGAATTTTTAAAAAATTTTTATATTCTGTTTACTAAAAAGTTTAAAAAAGAGCCCACATTTTACAACTCACGCATAATACAATTATTATTCTTTGTAGTGATATTTTGGAGCGATTTATTCAAATGACTGCGTTTATATGGTTCACACCCAAAAATGGTTATTTTAAACAGATACCTCCTGGACTAATACTGTATAAAACAATGTCAAGGTATAGATTTATTTATAAAGTCTAGTTTCTAGTAGAGCTAAAGCACAAAATTTTCAATGTTATATTTAAGGCGAATATTCCTTCATTAAACCAATTAGCAACATCTTCATTTTTAAACTGCTGTAAACAGTGATACCTCGCTCTTTATCTCAGTAAAAGTAAGTCTTTATAATAAAGATATACTTCAAAGCAAACAGTTTTCATATTACTGTATACCTCTGTATATTTTCTGAAACGAAGGTTTTTAATATCTGCTAAATCTGTACGGCAAATATTTGCTGTGCCGCCTTCCAAGCGGAAGTTAAGAAAGTTTAATTGTGTTACTTTTACAGCCTTCTCGTTGGTGTGTTTTATGAAATATTGCGTGAAATAATTTTAACAAAATATACATAGCGCTGGAGTAATATTTCTTATTCCTTTTCTGAAATAAAATGCTTTATAACATTTTCCTCTTTGACCTTTATTAAAATAAATACCTTAAGATAATTACTCTTGTCGATCCAGCTACGTAATAAGGAAAAGATAGATATTGTAAGCTAAAGATGACAATATCTAAGATACTGGATGTTGGTTTGTCGCCATTATTATTGTCTGTGTATATGTAAATTAGTGCTGTAGGTAGTGTAGGCCTATACCTCTGTTGAAACATCTGCCGCCATTTGTTTTTGTTCCTTAACTTCTTTTTACAGTTTACTATAATACCATACCTATTTAACATTTCCAACGTCTCTGAAACCAAATAGGATCTGAGATATATGATAAATGTATGTCAAAGATTGATAGATCGTAGTTTGGCTTTCGGAAAGCACTTGGAACTACAGACATAGTTTTCGCTCTTTAGATGTTTATAGAGTGGTGTATGAACGTTAATAAGTATGTATATTTTTGCTTTGTGGATTTTAGAAAAGCATGTGATAATGTCAATCATCAACAACTAATAGAGATTTTAAGACAGACAGTCATTGACGACAAGGATATGCGGATTGTGCCAAATCTATACTGGGGTCAAATAGTAAGAGCAAAAATAGGCAATAAACTTCCTAAATGTATGGAAATCAAAAGGGGTGCCCGAAAGCGGTGTATCTTATCCCTAGTCCTTTTCAATATTTAGTCCAAAGAAATATTTCAAAAATGTATGTCAAATGCAACAAAGAGCGTATTAATAAACGATCAGTTCGTAAACAACATAAGATATGCCGATACCGTGGTGATCCTTGCTAGTAGCATAGATGAATTGCAACTGGCAATGGAAATGGTTGATGTAATCAGCGAGGACTATGGCCTGAACCTTAACATCAAGAAGACAAAATGGATGCTGATAAGCAAAAAAGCAACAACCTGCCCAACAGTTACAAATAAACAACATGCTATGCAACTATGCCATATAGAATCTTATGTATACCCTAATATATAATATGTCACATGTCACATAACTCAAAAAACAATCTGAGCACGACGAAACAAAAAAAATTAAGTATCTAATATTGAGACACAATAAGGACCGTGTACTTTAATTAATTATCCCAGGGAAATAGACAGGAGGTGGGGACAGACAGAAAAAGATACTTGTGGCTCCCAAATCTGTGGAAGTTGTTCGGGCTCACATCGGTTTAACTATACAGAAGTGCCGTAAGAAGCAGGATCAGAATTATTATAAAGAGAATTATTTTTCTCTGTTTGACAATTAAATAATCTTTTTAACTGTAGATAGCAGGTTACCTGCAATAAGAATAACCTGTCTTGTTAATACATTTTATTACTAATTGTTTAGAATTTATATAGAATCGTATTCCATTATGTACTAGTTTTATTAAATTATGCCTTAATCCGTTCGCAAGTGCGAACGGATTAAGGCATAATTTAACATTGCTTCTTTTATATCTGATTGGTATTATAAGTTCTTTTTGACTTTTATCTATTTCTGTCCTTATTAATAACTATTTTGTCTCCGTCTCAGTATTTTGCAGAATTTGTTCTTTAACATTCATCACTCCGTTATTAATTTTATCTGCAAGGCATTGTATTATGAGTTGCTTCTTTAATTTACTTAATATTGTTCTGAAGCTATTTTCTTGTGGCATTTTAAATTAATTACGATTTAACTGGGAATAATCCACAATTAAAGATAAAAAATACGTTTATTGACGTTTCAATTTCCACTTCGGAAATCGTTCTTTTTTTTTCGAGAACGTCGTTTTTTCGTCGTTTGATTTGATGTGTCATATGCTAGTATTAGGCTAGTTGTTTATTTTGGAATCAGTCAGAGGCCCTTAATCAAGCAAATTTACCTTATATATAAAGCAATTATGTCGATTATCATCCATAGTGTCATATGATATGTCGTATGTGGCTATACGTTATTACTAACAAAGACGCTACGTAGTGCCCTTTTGGTAGTCTCTATGTTTGTTTTTTTTATCTAAATATATTTGTTATATCCTCCTTTTTATTTGCTAGGTCGCATGTTAGGATTCGATCAGTTGTTTATTTTGTAATCAGCCTGATGCCTCCTTTAAGTCAATAAATCAAAATGTGTCTTATAGTAAATCTATTTTTATCTATAGTGTCCTATGATATCTCGTATGTTGCTATACGTTTATTAATTATAAAGATAATGTTTAGTGCCTTTTTGGTAGCCGCCTTGTAAGTTTTTTCTATGTGAATATATTCATTATATCCTCCTCTTTTATTTGCTATGTCGCATGTTAGGATTCGTTTAGTTGTTTATTTTGTGCTCAGCCAGAGGCCCTTTTTAAGTCATTGAATCAAAATTTGTCTATTAGTTTAACTATTTTTATCTATAGTGCACTATGACATCTCGTATGTAACTTTACGTTTATTAATAATGAAGACACTGTGTAGTGCCCTTTGGTAGTCACCTTGTTTGTTTTTTCTATCTTAATATATTGGTGATATCCTTTCCTTTCATATAACGTATTACACGCTCCAATCGTACCAATAACAAAGGAGATATGATATAAGGCCCTCTTAGCGATGTCGCAATGTTTGACTGAATCAACATATTCGCTACCTCCTCTCCTTTCCAATCTCGATCCGATGAACTCTTCTACGTTCACCATAATACGCTCAAAAAATGAGTATAATGAACCTTCTCGTTATCTTATATGATTTTAAATGGGAAATAAAGCAAAACATTATGAACTTAATTTTTGATATACTATTAGCTCCCTTATTTAAAATGGAAAATTACACAATATGATGAGGAAAAAGTTTATCTTAAAATCTTTCCCTAATTTTAATTAACACATAATTTATTAAAAAAACAAACGTGCCGACATTCCCTG